CACACACACACACACACACACACACACACACACACACACACACACACGTCTGTTTTACCTGTGTTTATGCGTGTGTTTGCCAACTTACAGCTCTTGTCGGTCCACACGTGCAGCTCCTGGGCCAGCTCAGGGATCACCAGGAACGTCCTCCAGCCTTGACGTTTCTTGGACTTGAGGATGTCTCCAAAGATGTGGTCCCCGATGTAGACTATGTCCTTCCCTTTGGCGCCCAGCAGGTCGCACACAATGTCGGAGGAACCTAGAGAAGGAAGACGCGACGGTTCATTACCTGAATTATCTTATTAATCACAACTTAACCCTCGGTGAAAGAATGAACGACTGAGGGACGGAAGAGTCTCACCACCAGAGTAGACGATGCCGTGCTGCAGAGGGCCTGTGTAGGTTCCGATCTTTAAACGCCCTGTCGTCTGAAGAGAAGAACACATGCATCAGATTATCTTTACATGCATGAGTGTATAGTTTAACACAGAGATAAGCTGAGTTTAGGTAAACTGTGAAAGCTATATTCATACACAGCTTGTTTTCACAATCAACTAATTTGAAGAATATGCATGAATATCATGCATAATAAATTTAGATTATTATATGTTTCAGAGTGATTATAATGATTGGATTATAGAAATATTATTGGTATTATTGTGTGTTTAGCTTCTGGATGGTTTCTCACATTAACTTAAAAAGGCCGACATACAAACCGGTCGGCAACATCGGCAAAAATAATTATCTATCTATAGATATAGATATATAGATATAGATATAGATATATAGATATAGATATAGATATAGATAGAGCAGATTGAAAAGCATCTTCCTCAGTAACGCTAAAGCTAAAGGGACACGTCAGCGCTCACGTGCAGTAAACCGGTTAATAACAGCCTCTCCGTCTCAGCTGCGTGTTCTGCGTCTGCTCACCGTGTCGACTTGTCTGAGCACCGTTCCCTCTCCGAAGAACAGCGGCTTCCTGGCATCCGCTAGGATCAGATCAAAGTAGGACTGCCAGGGCCGGTGGGAGGTCCCAGGCTGGATACAAACGAGCAGTACAGTCACACACACGAGCATGAAACATGTCTTTCATATAGAAAACAAACAGTGATATCAAACGGAAGCCATTCTGTACCTTCGGGCCATGGGGGAAGTCAAACAGGTAGGTCATGATTTTCTGTGAGGAGACAACGCAGCGACATTCAAATCAAACACAGCGGTGTTTAGAGTCAACACAGCTGCCAGCAGACCAGCAGAAAGGCAAGGAACTGGATCTCAACGTTAATTCATCTTCATTTGTCTCACACCTGCTCGCCTGTACTCACATCGGTGTATTTGTAGTCACTGTTGGTAGCCAAGAACACCTTGGCTACTTCGTTCATTCTGCTTAGAAGAAGAGGAAGCTTCCCCTGATAGAAGAGGAGAGGAAATAACAAGACACAAGGTTAAGGCATCTTAACAAACCAGCCTGTCAGAGTATGTATTACACTGTGTGTGTGTGTGTGTTTTCTAACACAGTACACTTGTAGCGATGATTATCAACTACTTACATCTCTCACAACATATTTCTCCAAGTTCTCCACCGTCTTCACCTTCAGTGTACCCTGCAGCGTGAGAAACGGGAGTCAGACTGAACACTGAAGATCCAGATTGAAGTGAATTACAGTCGGCAGCATCCTCTTCAGTTAGAGGCATGAAGACCCGTTCATTTCATCCAGTAACCGTCACAAGTGACAACCCACACAAAACATGCGACGACTTGTGGCTTTTAGTTTGTTTTGTGAAAGCAAAGCCGACGGAACACACGATGTTGTGACAGTAGACACGATATGTGGGTTGAGAAAGAGTACAAAAGCTAAAGAACTATTAAATCAATTCCTGGAATATTTAGATACAAAAGTATAGAAGATCAGTTGCCTTCTCGACTACTAATGCTCATAATCGGTTGTTTCTTCACAAGCACTTTGTGACACCAGAGAAGATAAATAAACTCTGCTGCAGGACCTGCTGTCACTCACTGTCCAATCACCTGTTGACCCGTATCACTTCAAACTTAAAGCTCTTGCAAAGATGCATGATAATGCCAAATAAACCCAACTACAGGTGTGACAGCGAGCTGAACGTTTGCCATTTTTACAAGAAATATCGGTCTCGAAAAGGCCAGATTGCCATCAGCACTGAGCATATTCATGCCCAGACAGAAGCAGCAGCACCCGGGCATGAAAGCGGAGCACTGAGCTCACATCATGTCAGCTCGATAACTGAAATCACAAGCGTCCGACAGCGTCTCACCTTGAAGTGGACCCAGTCGACGGCGTCGCGGACGTCCTGGAACATGCTCTTGTAGGACATGAAGAGGTCGCCGTTTTTGAAGCCGGACTCACAGCTGGGGGAGCGGAGCAGAGACACACACGCACACAGCCGTCGGACGGGCCACATTTTTACAGAAGGTTTTCAAAAACATGACATTTGTTTTTTGTTTGCTTTTAAATGGGATAGCCTTCCCTTGTTGGAGGGGTCCCCAGCCAAACAGGAAAGCATTCTCCCCCTAAAAGACCAACAACCAGGTTTCAGAGGACAAAGGACATGCAGCCATTCCAGATTACATTCTCTACCAATTTACAGGTCAATATCTCTCCTCACGGGAACATTTTACCGTACAGCTATATCGAGATGTAATCCTCATTAAAGTAGTTAGTGAGGACATTTGTCATTACGATAAGAATTCATGCTTTTTCTACAATTAGTAGAAGAGATTAATAAATCACTGTTATCGAAAACATATCGTCTCTTTGACTGAGCTCCCGTTTGATTTTCATTTTACAACAATTAGCTTAGATTAGCAGTAGAGACACCAGGACCCTCCCATGCTGCAGGGCTTGCTCTTGACCCAGTTTGGCTTTGCGTCACCATGTGGTGCCCAGAAACTTGTTGCGTGACGGAGAGTGTTACTAAACGGCTCCTTACCTGGTGTATCTGTCACAGTTGGAGAAGAAATCCACGAGGCAAGCAAAGAGGTAGGTTTCTGTGGAAGGAAACAGAACGAAGCGGCTCGATTCAACCTCGTCTTTGACCTGCTGCAATATTCAGCTTTCATTCAGGATGAAGCTCCTTCTTGCTCGTCTAATAACAGTCCCGGGGCGCTCTCCTCTGTGCTCAGAGGCCTTACCTGGCAGGTTGAAGAGTGTGTTAAGGATATAAAAGCGCTCTGTGTCATCTCTCTGGATGAACTTGTTTGGGTACCGTTCACGGATCTCAGGGCTGGGAAGAGAGAAAAGACAAAACTAAATCTTCATTGTTCTTCTTTCTTGTGCTCACACAGATGTAGACGATGTGTGTTGGACACACTCACCCTCGGAGGAAGTTGAATCCATGCACACAGACCAGGATGTTACCGTAGGCGTCAACCTTCAACAGGTTTCCATACATGGTATCAAACACGAGGCCCCTGAAAGTCAGAGGAGATAAATGTTCGTACACAATACTCATCTCTTGAACATGATATCTGCCATTATCTGTGACGTGGTTACAGTTGTTATCAGGACGAACTGAGAGGTATTGTCCGGGAGTGTAGATTAACTTTGAACAGGCTCCCTCAGCTCAGCTTGATATCCTCGCTACATATAAGATACAGATGAGAGCGGAGGCAGTTAAAGCAGCATGGTCGTGAGGTCTGTGTGGTGGGGTGGGGTTGGTCTGACCTGGTGGGGAACGACGGGTCGTAGATGAAGCTGAGCAGCTCCTGGGGGTAACCGATAGACACCAGGCGCTCCACTGTGAGCTCAAACCCTAGTGACTCGTACTCTGGAGACTTGTACACTAGAAAATAAACACAAACGTACGGACAGTTTTACTAAAGTTACCCCAAGAGAAGGTCACAGCACACGTGGTGCCACAGTGTGTGATCTTTGGCGTCGACTTTTAAAGACTATTGTGCAATGCTTTGTACAAGTTATTGAATAGTTAAAGTCCCGGCTTAATGAGCCGGTGATTCTGCTTTATCGTCAGCCATCGTTAGTCACTGTAAACTAAACTACAACTCGTTGATTCATAAAACACATTTAATAGTCTAATAATTATGCAAGTCATTGATGAAGCAAAAATGACAAATATTCTCTGATTTCAGTCATTTAACAGTGAGATTTTTTTCAGCTTTTCTCTGTTTTAAGTTAATATCATATCAATATATTTAGATTTTGGACTGTTGGACGGACAAAACTAACTATTTGAAGACCTCACATGTGATGGGCTTTTTCCACTTTAAGGCCAACACAATGAAATGCAACCCAACAACATATTAATCCATAATGAAAAGGATTGTTGGTTGAAGCCCTAAAAGACATTAAGCAGATTTAAAATATGACTTTTGAATTCAAATAAATAAATCCACATTTGTCCAGATGTTTTCAGCTGGTTGGACATGTTTTGTCGGTTCACTGCGACACATCGTCTCGCTCTCTGGAACTCTACCTTAAAACAACAATTATCAGCAGCTATTGAAGTGGCATCTGGCTGACCGGAGAGCTCGTACAGCACGTGGCACACAAGTCAAATTTCCATAAACTCCTGTATTATGTACACAGTTGAGGAACATGAGCTGTTGTTGATGCTGTGCACAGCGTTTCATTAGAGGTGACGTACAGTCAGTGGAGCCCACTCGTGTTGCACAACACGTACATGAGACTTCTCTAAGGCGACCTCGTCCACTGGGGAGTCTGTGCTGTTGCTCCAGTAATTTGACATGTTCTCACCCCCCCTTCACACACACACTCATTGTCCTGCTCTCTCCTCACTATTAACAAGGACCTCTGTGTTCTGCACACAAATCCACAAAGAAACAGGATCAGGCGTGAGAATGAAAAGTCACTCAACCTTCAGCAGCAGCTCTAATGAGTCCGGCTGAGACCGATGACAAGCCCGGAGCCAGATATTTACCAAAACCCAAGCCGGGGGGGGGGGGGGCGCTCTGGAAATAAAAACCCAGATAGATGCTGGGCTCAGAATAGGCCGGGAGAGGATTGAAACGCTACGCGACACTGGGAAAAGATTGTGTCAGATGTTATAAATACGATAGAAGAATGCGCTGGTGTTGTTGGTGGAGGGCCCCTGGAGACAGGGAAGACATATTGGCTGATGATGATGCTGGGATAGAGGACAGTTAGTGGTCGGGGGAGGGGGGACAGCACTGCAGGAGAAACAGGAGAACATCTGCGTCTCACTCTGTAGAATGTGAACTTGTGTCCAATGCCGGGCTGCACACAGAAGCCTAATGAGTATGCACAGAGTGACGGGAAGATCTTGAGTTCAGTAAAGCTTTGTTCTTTAGTTGACACCCGTACTCTGCAAGCCTGAGCCTGTTTCTGCATTATAATCACGTAGCCCCCCCCCCCGCTGTGGTCTCCCAGCAAACTGAAGGTTTGGGCCCTGTGCCGGGAGCTGTAGCATTCCTCCTCCTCCTCCTCCCTCCTCCTCCTCCTCCTCCTGCCGATTGACACATTTGAATTCACGGTTATCTTGGCCAAAATCAATCATAAACTACTGCTATTATTTTTCACTTCTCTACCGTGATAGTGAGCTAGACATGTGACAATATTCAGGATTAAACCCTGATAGTGAAAATTCACCACGATCCACTCATTGTCAGTGGTTTCCATCCCGTTTCACTTCATCCCTGCTCGTCGGAGGCTCTACAGAGAAACCTATTCTAGGAGCCGTTTCCCCTCCGTCACCTCTGCTATCATCACTCTCTCTGTCCACGTGTTGGCCTCGGTGTGGTACTCAATAAAATCACATCTCAATCTAGGTTATGCAAAGGAGAGCCAGACCTGTCATTAAGGATCAGGAAGTTGTTTTGTTACATAATGAATAGAGAAGAATATTGTCTCGTTTTATTGGCCCATTAAGGCCCATGAACAGTATTTCTCTATAAAATCAAATATTACTAAATATCGCTAAATGTGAAACAGTTAAAATGAAGTTCAGAATAAAAACAGGATCTTATTAACGTGACATGAAAAGCACCACAAAACTTGGTGTCAAACCTCAAATATTTCTTTATTAGATAACATGTTAACATTTAAATGAGCAAAACCAAAAGGTAAAGTTTGGGGCTTGTATCTAAAGTTGTTATTTATTAAGAGTGTAAAACTCAAAAATTCAGCAAAAATATTTTTTTATTAAAAATGTCGCAAAATCTGAGAGAAACACACGACATCGTATTTTTCCATCTGAGCCCTGAGGAGCACCGAGTCATGTGACAAAACCAAAACTCCTTCATCTCTCACAGGCCTTCAAACACAGACGATCATAAAATCACTTAAGACGACTTTCACGACTTTAAAGACACTGAAACCTTTTAACTTCTTCAACTGTGAAAACTAAGCACATGACACCAAATGCCTGCAGTGCATCTCATTCAAACGTACGTCTAGACGCCTCTCACTGCTTCACGTGTTTAAAGGCTTCAGCAGTACTCTGGACTGATTCATGTTTCCACACTGGAAGCTACAGAAAGTTGCATAAGTTAGTTAATGAGGCTTCCATGAACGTCTTATCAACAGATGTTATTAAAGGGTTACAGCATCGGTGTGCAGACCGGAAGTTGTGTTATTGTTGCTTGCAGTGTCCTTGACTCCTGCATTTCTGCTTTATAGGGGCCCTTGCTCCCCTGCTGTAAGCCAGCCCCTTCTCACATTTCTCACGCTGTCAGTATACACACACGTGCACGCACACGCACACACGCACACACGCACACGCACCCGTTACCTTGAGTCTCTGATGAGATTGTTGCTAGTTAATTATATACCCCCCCCTGCTCCATTTGTGTTGTGGTGTGTGTGTGGTGGCCAGGCCGCCTTAGGCCTAAATGTAATGTGCACCCCCCCCCACACATAAACAACCAGCCCCCTTCCACTAATAGACCACTATATCCAAATCCTATAAAGTGTCCCACACAGAGACGTTATCTGAATCATGTCGCATATCAATCTATATTAGGAACAAACTCCTCCACCGTCTCAAGTTATCTGTGGACGCCAATATGCAAATGTAGGTCTTTGTCACGGATCTCTAACACCGTCAAACAAATTGTGGAACAAGGAGACAAACTTGAGCGCGGCCTCGGGGACCTACATTCAGCCAAAAGTCTGCTGGAAAACGAGGACAGAACTCTGTGCAGCTCTCAATGCAATCTGGGCTAAACTGTGTGTTTGAGCGAAGAATAGCTGAAGCAACGTTGTAATAATACAACGTGGATTTAGTTCACAGCGAGGTGTATGCATGCACTGCGATAGTTTGCAACCGTTGATCTTTATATGTTTGCGTGATAAATTGAGATACATGTTTTCAGTAAAAGTGCATCACAGCACGATGAAACAACAGCGTCCTGGGAAGAGATATCAAGCTTTACCTCTTGCACTTGATACGGTGGGAGACAAACATTGCTCTGAATGTTAATGTTTAATAAGATTAATACTTTTATTTTGTTTTAAAACACCGTCATGATATGAAAAAAAATGACAAAAAGGTGTAAAACTGCACAAACGGAACAATAGAAGTGGGCAATATAAATAGATCACTTGCTCTATTCCTGTAATATGTAATATCTATGTTCTTCTCACACAAAATCATTTGTTTTCTGCACTTTTCCATTCTTTGTGGAAGCTCTGTCAACATCTGAAAATGGCGGTTTGTCCTGCCTTTAACACCCCCGAAGAACAAACACTGCAGCCAGCCAGGGCGCTGTGGTTAAGCAGCAGCCATGCTGTGACACCACCAGCTCCCCGGAGTTGATGGAGTACCTCAGTGATCAAACCCCGAACACCCTCCAGCAGATACAAGATAGCCGGGCTTCCAGTAAACATTAACACTTGGTTATGAGCGGCCGTAAAGAGAGTCATTTCAACAGCTGAGCGTGTGCGCCCTGATCGGGGGGGGGGGGGGGGGGGGATAGGGGTACAGAGCCAGAGAGGGACTACGAGTGATCCCCGCTCTCAAGGGAGCCATCGCTGGTCAACTCCACAAACAAACGTGACCTGCTTCTCAAAGTCAGGGAGCGTTTATTTATAGAGACGGTGAGACCGAAACCTGGAACTGAGTCCCGGAGCAAAGTGGTATGAAAAAAAATATGGATTCTTTTTGGCCCGGCAACGGGTCAGCAGGAAGAAGAACATCTCTAAACAATCGACAGCGTGTACCGGGACACTTCGCTTGATATTTGTTATGCGTTAGTCGGCTCAATGAGTTGCCGGCATTGACCTAAATAATATGTTGTGGTCAACAACCTGGAGTTCTGGGGGGGGGGGGATGGTAGAGTAGCCAAGTATAGAGTTGAAAAGAAGGGAAACTGTAGACTTTAACATCCGCGCAGAACACACAAAGAGAAAGAAAGGAGACTCAATAACTGGAAATGTGTTTTCCACAAAATCCAAAGGTGACAAATGAGAAAACGCCTCAATCCTCTAAACGTACGCTGGCAATAACTAAATGCTTTGGTCTTCTCTGTTCTAACAATGCATCTTGCATGAATACATTTAATGCATACTTAAACCTCTTCATCAATCTGGGCTCTCAAGTGACACTTTGGACTCGTCTACATCATTAATAAGACCACACCGTGCAAACAGAGAATGTCAACAAGAAAATGATACAAGTATTTATACTCTCACATTTAAGAGACTGTAAACAACCAGAAGATAATTAGCATTTTTCCCTTATCCTATTATATAAAAACATTTAAAAGCAACCGTTTTGTTTCTGTGATGATTAGTTAATCAATTTATATTCAACTTACCTGCTAAAGTGTAATCCATGTCAAAGCCAAAGCATTTAATCTTCTCCATCGCCAAGCTTCTGTTGACGAACACTCTGAGGAAACAAGTTGAGGGAAACGTTTCAGATTCAACAACAGGATTATTATTTATTCTCTCACTCAAGCGAAGCTGTGATCACGGCAAAGTCTACAAAACGCTCAACCAGTGGATTGTGAAACGTGACGGATTCGGCTCAGAGCGTGTCAATCTTCCAGGAAACACGCAGCTTTACTGTGCAAATAAATCAATCGGGACACCGAGGTCCACACCGGCCACAGTGACACACGATGTTGACTCGGCCCGTTTGACGGGACTTCCACAGAAGAGACACGCGCTGCTACTCTGACTCTGACCCACATATCTGATCTTCAGCATCTGTTCCTGGAGATTTACACACAAGCCAAATATTTAAAAACGCTAGAAATAAGATGTAAACTGGCTAAAAGGGGAAATCAAATACATCACTGAAATAAAAACGTGGCGACGTTACTCTTGCCGAGCACATTACTGTGATGAGCAACTTATCTTCATCCATCTGTGAATCAGTTGTGAAATACCTGGCAGCAGATCCATAGTGAACAAGTTCCCATTTAGATGTTAGTCCAGCAGACGTCTGGTGATGCATTCTGTGTGACATTAAACCTCAGTTTGACTCTCCGCTGGTCTGACCACCAACAATGCCCCCCCCATCTCTCTCTCTCTCTCTCTTTGCTTTCTTGCCATTCAGACATTTTCTGACTTGTTGCAGAAATGATTGTGGCCATTCCGCGTCATTCTCTGTTGTTGCGTGTTGTCGGTTGGGGTTGTTGTTGTGCGGCATGATGTTTGTGGGCCCTCAAAGACATCCAGAACAATCAAGTCAGGTAGAATCAAGCAAGCCCGCGGCCCACAGCGACAGCTGCTCACCCCACTGAGGTGAGTAAACACCGGGAGGACCACTTCTCCATCACAGGAGCACCGTTTATTATACATGGGAATGAAAACAGGCAGCTGAAGACCTGGTTGAAAATGTCATCGTTGACAAATCGTTTTGATGGCATTAATTTTAAAGCAAACTTTTTGTAAAAGTTATCAATACGTCTTCAGTACTGATTATTTATGAAGGTATTCAGTTGCTTATAAGATCTGTATTACGGCCTTATGCTACATCATAGACTAGATTATAGATACACCTCAATAAAAACTGATGCACTACTTCTCTCAGTATTTCTCTGCGCTGAGTGGAGACGGATTTAAATCTAAAATCACTTCTATTTTGTTGAGCTGTTGTCACTTCACATGTGACCCCTTTGCTCAATGCGTGTGACGAGTGAAGCACATTCATAAATCACAACGAAGGGGAGATTATGCCCCTCCTAAACTCGCCCATATTGACAAAGGGTGGGGCGACTTAATCGCCAGAGTCCGCCTTGACTTTGGTCCTGTTAGCGACAATATTGCCTCAAATATCCCACATGGGCCACAACAGAATCCCTCAGCGACGTGCACTCCATCCGAGCGCAGCTGTGCGAAAGACTTTTTCCGCTGCTCTCTAATCTCACGTAGACAGCGATGCGAGTCCCGGAGATAGAAGGTTCATCTGTGCCGGGCAGAGTCGTCAGCCCTCTGCTATGTGGTAAGCAGCTGCATTGCTTTAGCTGAGCTCTTACTTTGAAGTAATGGTCTCTGTCTGTCTGTGAGATAAACACAAAGTCCGCCCCCCTTCAATGGCCTCTTACATTTCACCAGAACGACTGAGCCGATCAAGCAGCCTTGGCTACTTTAACTACACTACTGTCACAAGCATATCGCTTTAGCGAGCTCAACACCACCTTTGTACCTTTGTTATCTTTGCACGTGTGATTGTTTGCATGAGAGTATGTGTGTGTGTGTGTGTGTGTGTGTGTGTGTGTGTGTGGCTTATGTCAGCACACACGCAGCTAACAGATGAGTGACAGTTTCGCAAACCCTGTGAGTATTGCGTATTACAGAGCGGTGTGAAAGAGCAGCAGTACCCAGCGGGCGTGCACGTCTTAAGCCGAGTGAAACCTTGAACGGCGACACGCGTTGTGTTACTAAATGCCTCGTTACACGAGCCCTTCAGCCAGGACGTCTACAGGGCGTTTCCAGTCAACAGGTACAGGAACAAGGAAGTCTACGGAAAGACTCTGCTATTGTGCGAGTTGTTGTAACAACTAAGTGTCTAAACTATTTGAGATCCGATAAATGTGGAGGGTATCGCTTTGCCTTCGAGCCGACTACAAGCTTCGTATTCATGCGCTGACACCCGGGACCTCAGCAGTCCGCTGACCTTTTGCCATGAGAGGAATTTTGCACATGAGTAAGAAAAACACACCCAAAACACAATCGACTGACTGTACAGTGAATGAACCAGTCACCCTCACAAACCCAAGTGGCATGACCTAGTAAGACGTCTGCTCTACTTAGTAACAAGTGATGTGTGAGACAGAAAACAAATGGTGGACAACTTCCTGTAATGCGAGGTCAGCTGGGCATAGATTTATAGCTCAACAAAATGGTCAATTATTATGTCTGGCTGCTCAATTTATGACATAAAACACTCGTTTTGTAGATGTAGTGTCAGATATGCAGATTACCTGTGGTACGGCTCTCGTCTGTATTTCTTCATCGACACGCCGTCCATGTTGGCGGGTAAGTCTGCAAAGTTCTGCAGTCTGTCACTCCATGAAGTGGTCATCTTTAAAAGCTTTCAGTGTCTGGGGAGAAGCAAAGCAACACATACGGAGGGGCTCAATTTAAAAGTGAACGGTCAAACAGAAATTAGAAATGATGTACGAAAATTGTCATTTTATCTGCACGTGAGAGGCTGAATATGATCCTTTGGTTACTATTTGTACTGCGTTACATTAAACACACAAAATGTAAAATGCAGTCATGTGTAACCTGAGCACTTTAGGATCAATGTGCATGTGTTTCACATTGAAGACATGTGTAACCTGAATAAGAGGAACATTCTAGTAAATGTATAATTAACTAATCTGTGCTCCGGGTTGAAACAGGAGCCCAGATACACAGTGCTGTGCCAGCCAGACCAAAGTGGCAGCATTTGCACCTTCCAAGGCATTCAAATTTGCATCCACACTTGGTCAGTTGTTGGCAACTCTTTGCAATAGGAGGGATGGATCAGTCCAGGAGATCTGCCACAGATCACCTGGACTGATCTATCCCCAGTCGGCAGGACTTTGTGCTTCTGGTTGAAAGTATTGATTTAACCCATATGAAGCTCAGTCAGGAAGACAATCCTTGCACACTTAGGCTTGTTGTCCTCCCTCTCTCTAATACGACTTCCGCACTCCAGCAGCACATTCTCAATTTTGGCTGTCGCTGTCAGAAGCCTCATAAACGCTGTCAGCTGTTTAACAGCTGGGCGCTCCCAGCCAATAGCGCAGCTTCCCCCCCTCATCGTTAGCCTATCAGCTTGCTGCCGCCTCTTTTTAAATGTGCTGCATCCCAGCCTCTAGCTGTCCAGCTGCTGTTTCGTGCGACCCTCCTCCTCCTCCCCAACACCATCGCAGATTCAGCACTCCATCAGCATCTCCAGCCACCACCACTATAGTCTGAGAGTCTCATTAACGCATCATCTGTCATAATAAACGTCAACTACCTCTCATTGACTTGTCTCTCTTGATTGAAATGCATCTTGGCCTGGGAGGCACTAGGCAGCACGCTTTACTTGCTGGAACAGAACAGCTCGAGTAGGAGGGATGACTTGCACCATCAGCTGTGCTGGACCTGTCACACATCATGACCACAAAGGTTTCCAAAATGTTCATGTCGGCATCGTCTGTTGTTGGTGGTTACTGGCTGCAAACATCAGAAACCTCGTCACATGCACTTTTAGGTTTGTCGTGCAGTCTTCTTGTCCTTATCTTGAGTTGTACTTTGCACATATACTGTTGCCGCCTCTTGAACTCTTGTGCAATGGCATCGCCACCACACAGTTTTGCCGAACGTTTTCCATCATTCAGACTTCGGCCACTTCATAAAACAGCCGTTTGATTGCGTGACTAATGTATTTTATCAGATGAACAATCCCAAAGGAGTATTTGTGACAATTTTGGTACTTCTTTCCACCCTGTGAAAGATTTTCCTGCAGCAATGCAATCAGCAGCTACACTAAAAAAAAAAAGATTGTTTATTCATGTGTGTGTGTGTGTGTGTAGAGGTCATGGTCGAGGAGCGGAGGATGGGTCATGGAGGACACCAGTGGGGCCACTGGGTTCATTGAGGACACAAAGCGTCTGTCTAATGCACTGACGGCACAAACACATCTAGTCTCACTCACAAGAGAGACTTAAACATGGAGTCGTTTACAAGTAGGTTATAGTTACGTAAGTAACGCGGTGAAGTTAACGCACCAGAGATCAACGGGACAGGCTTAGACCAAATAGGCAAACAACAATCCCTGGAAAGCCTTGTAAATTCCTGCCCCAGGGGAATGTAAAGCCTTGTAGGGTTTGTTTTCTCCCAGGCTGACTCTTCATCTTCCTCCGGTCACTGAGAGACAGACTGGGCTGCAGGAAGGTAAGGCAGAGGAGGGCAGCTCTCTCCTTCTCGGTGCCAGCACGAATGCAAATGAGGCGAATTGTCCACAAACTGCATTAGAGTGTCGAAAACACTGTCATCACGTTGACTTTACAGCTTTGCAGGAGAGTAAACCAAAGATGTTGGAGTTTTGTTTTACATTATGAACTCTTAATATTCTACCAGACTGTCACTCTAATGCATGTTTAGCTAATGTCCTTACGACACCGTGGGTCCAACAAGTATGAACCGGGTCCACTGGGCTCAGAGGGAGGGACAGCTCCACAACTTGTGACAGGCTTTGTTTCCTCAAGAGAGGCTGGAGTCGACGTGCGTCTCAAACCATGCTAACGTCACCCGGAGCGTTAACTGACACTCGTTTTTTCGGGATGCCATTCATGTTTCAGCATCACCTTTGGCTGTGCAAATATGTCGGGCTGTTCTGCGAGACCAGCGGTGAACGCTGAGAGATTAGCTTTAAGCTAACTTACCGTAAAAAGTGTCATTATAAAGCTAACAGCAACGGAAGGTTAACGTACCAAAACAACGTCCGCTCCAACTGCCGCTGTGCTGCTCTTCTAGTCTGACGTTTACCGAGAAGGACGAGCAGCAGTGATCCCCGGACGAAGCTAACGCGTTAGCTCGCTTTGATTCAACAGCAAAAGCAACAAAGTGTCGGGGGCAGGTTTCACCGTGACTGGCATTACTGTACTCACCTCTGAGTTCCTGAATAAAACAACTGCACCGTCAGTTGGTCTGAGCATGCGCCTTGAGCGGAGTACAAGTCGGAGATGAGTCGTTGATGTGTGGTTTCTTCTTTCTGTCTTCACTGTAAAGCCAGGTAGCAGACGAGTGTTCCTGCTGTGCCTGCACTTTGCTGTCTCTCTCTGTGCTAACAGCTGTTGTTATGAGACGTTCAGGGGGCGGGGTTTATCGGTCTGTCAGGAAGGGGGCGGGACTAAGTGTCGTCGTGGCACAGAAACGTGACACCACGGTCCCGCATCCGTTATCAGTAGAGACACCTCGGAAGGATTGCATCTGTTTATCTTGATGCAAAAGTTAATTTGCTTATAATGGGCCTGCAGCATTGCAAAGAGTAGGCCACTCCAGTGCTTCACTCAAGTTAAAATCCTGTTACAAGCTTCTCACATGTATTCATTCAACTCAACTAAAACAACACAAGAAAGCACAAACAAATCAAGATAAGTTGTCTGTTCAGGTGCAGATTCACATGATGACGCTTGTGTTCTGTGATTGATATCATCAGGTGGAAGAAACACTCAGATCCTCTACTGAAGTATAAATTGGCAATAGAACAGTGTAAACATAAAAGGCCCTTAAGTAAAAACGGCACAATTATCTTCAAAGTATAAATTCTCACTCTCCAGGAAAAATGCACCCAAGACTGATATATTTTCATATGTGACGTTATAGTGGTGCAATAATGCATATGTAGCATTTTACTAGCCGGTCGAGGTGGAGCTATTTATCTTTAGATAGTTTATTCCTCTGGTTACCAAACCAGGGGTCAGGTCCCCTCCAGAGGTTGAATCTGAGGATGACTCAGACCCTCCGGTGGACTGGGCTCTGAGTCATGGTTAGTGAGGTGGGAGAAAAGAAAAAGTTCTGCCACACAAATGTGTAGTCATTTGTCTAATCTTTGCTTTTTTTTTGGTGAAATATTGTAGAGTTTCAACAATGTATTGTATTTGCATGAGTGAAGGAAAAGGCATCTTGTATTGGAGAGACTGACTTACACAACAAGAGAATTTGAAAAAGTGTGGAAACCATTATTGGAGTTTCTCTGACGTCAAGGTGCATTTATACATTGATGTGTGTTGAGTGTGTTGTTATTTTTTGTTAAATATGTAAAATATGTAAAATGTTAGGTTGCTTTTCCTTTGATGACTACAAAAACCATGCCAACATATTTTATTTTTTAATTAAATTATTATTATTATTATTGTCTGTTTGTGAAATATATGGAAAAGTCAATAAAATATTGTTTGAAAAACATTATCATTGTTTTTGTAAATTCTTAATCATAACACTGAAAACTACTAATTATAGCTGTCAGACAGCGGGGTAAAAAGTATAACATTACTCTCTGAAATGTATTGGAGTACAGAAGTATAAAGCAGCATAACATGTAAATACTGTAACTCAAAATTGTACTTATATATAGAACTTGAGTAGATGTACTTAGTTACTTTCCACCGCTGGATATACTAAATCAATGACAGTAAGCGTGTCTACAGTCGGCCTGCAGCCCATGAGGATTTGGACAATAGCACATTCCTTGTTGTGGGTCTGAAATGAAACAATGGCTTTGAGGTTTAAGTGGTGACTTTCAGCTTTCATTCATGGCTGTTCACATATTCAGTAAACAGTACATTGTCATTGTTCTGCCACACTGTTCTAAATTAAGGGTACTATAAAAATAGCTGCGAGTCTGTTTACCCTTTGGACGTGAACAACCTCCAACACACTTAAAGCTTAAAGTCAGCTTAATAACCTCAGTCGTTTAATATCAGATTCATTCTGCCAGAGCACAGAGGCCAAACTATACTTGGCTGCGACTGTATTTAGGCTTCCAAAATCCCCCAGCACAGGTCAAAAAGGCATTTCTGCAGATAATTTGGGGAATAAAATATTTTCCATTGACATTGTCATAACTACGTGCCTCCCTTGGAGGGCAATATTTTATTGTTCCACAGACTTTGCTTTTGCATTGTTTGATATCAGCACAGATTTCGAGTGAAAGGCAGAAAAGATCTCCAGGGCACTTGTGGGGCATCTCAAGTTTGAATATTCTGCACCAGTATATTGTGTGTCTCTCCGCTTACAGTTCCTCTGGTGAACAGCAGCAATAACCCTTTCTCATGTCAGCCTGAAAATGGCACGTGAAAGGGTTAGAAAAACCCAATCAAGTTGATACCTGTCTGAACCTGACTGCCGCCTTGTCTATGCCCCTTGCTTCCTTCTTGGGGAAAATCGCTATGACCCAGTTCACAGTTCCATCATCAGTTCATCTGAACATCCAGTAGCCAGTAGGCTTCATTCACTTTAGTCAAAAGCAGCCTGGTATTAAGTGGACCTACTGTATCTGTAGTATTCATGTCTGCTTGCAGTGTGCTGCGATCTGACAGCAGAGGGCAGCAGAGGCCTGTCAGTGGGATGCTGTTTTCAAGCGACGCTGCGCAAAACGAAATATGCATCAAACAAAACGGATACTATCTTAACTTTATTTAAATTCAAAAAACAACATTGAATATGAATTAAGATCTTAAACTTTTTTTCTATTTAAAGATTCAGCTCATAAGTCCCAAAGTGCAACCTCAAATTCAATACTTCGACATAAGATGCAGGTTGTTGCTTACATCTGCATGAACAAGTTCATCTTAAAATGCAAAGTCCTCATTTAATAGCTACTCCACTGATGTCGGACAGCAGGTGCACAAACCCAAACGTTTCAAGTGATGGTCACACCTCCCTCTTTTGTTCTGCCACTCGTAAAGTCCATTTTCATCATCTCTTTATTTATCCATTTTAGCCTCATTCTCACTGCAGACGTTTGAGAGTCAAAAAACACGTTCTTTCACTTTAGAACCGTAAACCCATGTTGATTTGAGCATTAGGTTGTTGGACACGTATGGAGAGTCACTGCAATGATTTAGAGAGCAGTAACAGTTGTAACCTGCTAGCTACAACTGCAACAGAAGTGTTGAAGCAAAGTGCATCATTATTGGGTTCTTTGAGAAATGTTCGAGCTATCTCGGTTCGTAATATTTGTATTGTCTGTATAGAAAGAGTGATATAGGTTATCTAATATAAAAATGAAAGGAATGCTTCTGGAAGAGCATTTCAATATGATTTTTCAGTTTAAAGTGTAAATGTGCAACAAGCGATCAAACACTGACGCACCACTGCGCCAAAAAGGACAGTTCCATCTGCTCCACACAGAACAGTGTCAACTGCGCCCATCTGGACCGATTGGCCAGTGGAACAATTATTGTATACATAATATAATTAGGCTATGGAAATTCACCTCGAGCACAATATTCAGCATTATTTGTAATATTCATTGGGCTATCTGACACAATGAGCCCGGATGTTACCACCGGGCACTAATGAGTGATCGGGGTTGGTCCCCCTATATAAAGGAGACGCGCCCACTGCTCTGCTCTGTCTCCATTCAAGTCAAGATGAGCTACGGATCTGAAGCCTTTTCCTCCTCCTCCTCCTACAGGAAGATTTTCGGGGATTCTCCCCGTTATGCCTCTCCGTCACGGACAAAGATGAACGTGTCCTCCCGGGGAGGTTACCGGTCCTCCTCTGCATCCCGGAGCAACGTTTCATCCATGGGCGCGTACAACAGAAAGTCCGGCCGCCTCATGCCACTGGAGACCTTCGACCTGACACAGAGCACCGTCCTCAACAATGAGTTCAAAATTGTCCGCACCAATGAGAAGGAACAAATGCAGGGGCTTAATGACCGCTTCGCAGTGTTCATCGACAAAGTGCGCAACTTGGAGCAGCATAACACGGTGCTGGAGACGGAGTTGAATGTCCTGCGCCAGCGGCAGACCGAGCCGTCCCGCCTGGCCGAGCTTTACCAACAAGAGATCCGCGAACTTCGCTCGCAGCTCGAAGAGCTGAACGGGGAGAAGTCCCAGCTCGTCATCGAGAGGGATTGTATTGAAGACGAACTGCAGAAGCTCAGGGGAAAATACGAAGAGGAGTACCGCGCCCGTGAGGACGCGGAGGTCACCCTCAAGGCCTTTAAGAAAGATGTGGACGATGCCACCATGGTGCGCCTGGACCTGGAGAAGAAGGTGGAATCTCTGCTGGACGAGATCAACTTCCTCAGGAAGGTGCACGAGGAGGAGGTGGTCGAGCTGACGGAAATGATCCACGCTGCCCAGGTGTCTGTGGAGATGGAGGTGTCCAAGCCGGACCTCACCTCCGCCCTCAAGGAGATTCGAGGCCAATACGAGTCCATGGCGTCCAAGAACCTGCATTCCGCCGAGGAGTGGTACAAGACCAAGTTCACCGACTTGTCCGAGCAGGCCACCCGGAGTAACGACGCCATCCGCGCCAGCAGGGAGGAACTGAACGAGTTCAGGAGGCAGCTGCAGTCGAAGACGATCGAGACAGAGAGTCTTAGGGGAACCAACGAGTCTCTGGACAAGCAGCTCCGGGAGATGGAGGAGAGGCACAATGCGGAGATTGGAAACTACCAGGTAATCTCCTTTTCATCACTCGTTCACCGCGTTTCTAAACTAGAAAATCGGCCATTTTATTTGCAGTCATAAACGTTTATTTTAATTGAAATGAATACACTGTAAAGCGTTTTTAGGGCAATAACAATATCAGGAGCAGCTGAGATCTGTCCGTGGTGCTGAAACTCATCCCCCTGGGACAGCGCGCTCAGCTGCTGCATCGGACAACGCCCACTGAGCGTATGTGCTCTAATGAGTAACTTCAGTGTGGTGTTGGATTAAGCACTCCCAACTGAGAGCATACATTTTAGGAAAAACATTTCTACGCATTATGCTCATAAACGACTTGAGTTCCCATCGACATGATACAGAGGCTAACAATAGGATTGACAGAGGTCTTTGTTTGGGCACTGCGATTATTCCTCTGCAAGATATGTGGTCACAGACTGTTGTGCTTTAAAAAAAATCTTGAACCTACTTTTCTTGTATTGTTTGATTATCCTTAGGACAACATGGTAGAGCTGGAGAATGAGCTGAGGGCCAATAAGAGCGAGATGGCTTGTCACCTGAGGGAGTACCAGGATCTGCTGAATGTCAAGATGGCACTGGATATTGAAATTGCAGCTTACAGGTATGTTCTTCTCTCAAAGACAACTGACGCATTATCTGTTTGATAACCTCTATAAAATGTAATTTGGGGGGGATGCTGTTAAAATGCTGTTCCTTACCATTACTCTTTATCTCTATGTTATCTCTATCCTATCTACACCCTTCCCTCCATCGTCCTCACTGCAGGAAACTACTGGAAGGGGAGGAGACCCGCATCGGGACAGGGATCAGCTATGGCTCCTCAATGAGCGCAAGTCTTGGGCCAGGCTACAGCTACCAGAGCCGTAGTTACGGCAGCTCCAGCAAGGGCTCCAAGAGGGAGGGCAAGGAGGAGGACCAGCAGAGCAAGTCTGGAGGCAAGGTGACCCAGCGTGAAGTTCATGAGGAGACAGTCATCACCACCACCAAGAAGATGGAGAAGCAGCAAGACCCCAGCGACATTCCCACCATCCAGAACAACTAAGAGCCTACTGTAAGCTTGTTTTTCACCCTTTACCCTGCAAATCCAAACCACTTTTCATTTCCCAAACAACAAACCCTGAGCCTTTACACTTCAACACTTGTGGGGATCTAAGATGATAGCTTTGCCTCCTTATTATAAGCATAGTAAGATCATCCTGGTTTCCATCTGCCCTTTTGTGTGTTGGATGTCCACAAGTGTGTAGAGTGCAGGATCTAGATGTTTGTTTTCCGTGGGGTTATCCCTCTCTGTCCCCTTTGTCCCCCACATGTGTTCCCCAAAGGAAATCCATTATAACTCCACTGTAACTGCCACTCTATACAAAACCACAGCGCATCTGTGAACTCTCCTTCTCCTTCACACACTCAACATCAAACAATAACCAGCACTTACTGTAGGTAGCATCTCTTACACAAGTGCAGTCTTTCAAAACATAATATTCAACTGGCCTGTCACACTTTGGGCTGATGTCACTTCAATATGTGATACTGAAACACGTAGATAATAGCTGTGGTCATTCACGACCACCACAAGCTGTGAGCTACTGTCAACACATTCCAATGGAAGCATGTGTGTGCATCCACTCATACGGTACAAACAAAAAGACATTCCTACAACAGTTTAGTGAGAAAGCACACAGTCTACAGCCAAGATAAACAATGATATATGACAGCGTATTGCTGAGACATTATTTCGGGTCAGAGTTCATAAGCAAAATGTTGATCCCTGTTTGACTGCAGTCCAATCAGTTCTGCATGACAACATTATGGAAGATTCTCCTCTTCCTCCTCCTTTCTAACTTCCCGATAAAGACTCATTTCCAAAAGTGGATTCCCTTAGCTATTTAAAAGAGACTTGAAGCAAAGAAAAAACAAATGTATGAATCAAGCATAATTTGCATGCCGTATGTGGATGTCATGCTTGCATGGAATCCATCGGCCTATTGCTCGTTTGACACGATTTCATTGTTAAAAGGCTGGCTAATGCCTTCCTTTTTACCATCTACCGTGCTGAGCATCCTCATGCACAACACTCATTAATAAATGTAATAGATGTGCTTGTAAGCCTGTAGGTTAGATTATAACTCTTACTGCAGGATGTGACGTAGATAGGCCTCGATGCTATGAAGATAAGAAGTACAAATCCACTTGCACTTATATGTCTAGAATGTCAAAACTACCAAATTTGGTAAACAGTTTGCACAATATGCTATGAAAGATAGAGGAAAAGTGAAGCAAAGATGCTGTAAAGGAGGCAAAATGCAGCTAACGTGATAAGAATATGATAAGAAAGAGGAAGTGATAGTTCTCTTGAAGCATCCAGTCAATTAGAGACTGAATTGTAAATCACGCTTTAGCCTACGAGATCCTCTGTGATCCCTCTCTGTGCGATGAATTGTATGCATATTCAACACCATTTCCCATGTGCCATCGATGATGCTTGACGCACATTTGAGCTCCAGAATTCATACCATATCACTCAGCCAGAAGAAAACTATGCCATCAATGCTCAAAATACTCACTTCAGCCGCCAGACCACCACACGTTTGAAACAACTTGACTTCTTTCTTTATAACTGTGGCCATGACTGGACAAAATGTCTGCCGTAGCACGACCTCACCACTAGAAACACCTCGGTATGAGAGACGTGTAGCCTGTTTCTTTTCTGCTTGTGTACTGCCGGCGTTAACACAGCTTATTCCCCTGCTGCTGGTCATGGAGACCCACACCCTGACAAACTGCACATACGATGACAACACAAAACTACTGATTGTACGGGGGACTGCTGTGGATTGGGTTCCTTTACTTACTCTACTTGAGGCTTGTGATAGGTGTGTTAGTGCTTTAGTGAGTGTGTCTGTGTCTCTACACAGTGGCCTATTATACATATGTAGAGGGCAGTAAACCTGATAGTTGGGCATTTTGTTTTCCAGATCACTGAAATCCAGTGTAAAGCAAAAGAAATGTACAAGAAATATGAGCCGCATTTTATAATACACAGCTAAAACAGTGGATGAATGGTTCATCAAGCTTTTATCTTTACACCGTAAACCAAACCACTCATCCGTTAGTGTCTGAAGAAAGAAGTGTCACTCCTGCTACTACTGCACTGCCAAACTTTTCTAAGTGCACATGCAACAACCTTTCATGGAAAACAGAAAAGCACCAATCAAGACTTAGCCGTAGAACAAATAACTGTAGGATGTGAAATGCCTTAAAACACCAGCAGCTTTCTTTCTGGCCATGTGTGTGTGATGTGTTCAGTAGGGATGTGTAATCATTATTATCTCTTTATTAGAGCTACCACGACTACAAAGGCATAGGGATCGAATGTAGTCAACATGCTATTCTGTTTGATGTTATTCTTATGTATTGCTGTATGACACCATATAATAAAGACTCAATGAAGACTTGAAGTTATTGAGGCTGCAAATGATTTCATTGTTTTTTTACATGTTACATTTAGTTGTCTGGAGAAGATCATATTTTTTACTACTTGTACTTAAGTACATTTCAGAGGTACATGTACGTTACCTGACTATTGTCCATTGAATGCTACTCCACTACTTTTCAGAGGGAAATATCGTACCGTACTATTTTTACTCCACTACATTCATTTGGTAGTTACTGTTTATTTTGCAGATTCAAATTAATAATACAAAATTAAATCAACAAATAAATGATGTAATATTATAGGTGAAGGTAAGACTTTAATGATTCCTGGGGTCACCCAGCAGTATATACAGTAATCCATATTAGACCCATCTTTACCAACTGCAAAGCTGAAGAGATGTACACATTAATAGCATCAGTAATAAAAATCCAACATTATAATAAACAGTTTTATGAAATGGGCAATTCTGCATAATAAGTTGAATTCATAATTAGTACATTTTCTATTGGTACTTTAAGTATATTGGGTAGAAATAGTGTGTATTTCTATTCTGTGATATTGCTTCTTGTACTAAAAGATGAGTCCTCCCTCCACCACGGATTAATCAGTCAATGTGATTCAACAATATTAAGAAAAGGATGGAGAGAATATTCCAGATTTCTGTATTAGTATAGGAGCAGATTGAGCAGATTTTAACATGCGTTTCTATACCATTATCAACAGTTTTCTTTTTGTTGCACACTTGATGCAGCAAATGCAGGAAAACCTGTGAGGTTCAATGCTGAGAGCCAGTATTGTAATATTATTATTCTTGTACCATGTTTTCAGGTCTGAGGAAAATAATATTGTTGCTTTGGACCAACACGGGGCAGAAAGCAATGTCACCTTCACCTCTTCCCTGGAGATATATTTTTCTTCTGCTTCTCGGGGCCACAGTGCAGATGTTTATGAAAGAAATATGATGGATTACCTGCTGCTGTACTGTACGTTGATCTTTGCATCCCCCGTAGCTGCTCCACACACTTAAACACACACACACACACACACACACACACACACACACAGTCCTAGACCTTGAGACCTTCGGCCTCTTGAATTGTCTCTGTAGCTGGGCGGGACAGCTACGGCGCTGGGTGTGCATGTGTGACGCAGTTTGTGGTTCTTCAAAGATTTATACCCCTGCAATGCTGCTGAGTGGAAGGTGTGGTGGGAGTCATGCAGTGAGATTCCACTGTAAAAGCCCTGTTATAAAACAGCCCTCCCTTCCTCACGCTTCAAACTTGAAGAGTGCTTCAACTTTCTATTTTGAGTCTCATCTTAGCAACCCTGGCCTTTCCTCACAACCATAGAAAACACACAGGAGTATTATGAGGCAAAAAAACACATGGAAAATATTGCCTCCTATAGGAAAATGTCTGATTAATTTGAGGGTGTTTAGTCCTTCAGTCCCAATGCAATCAGCAAACGTTGCAGTTGGCTGATTTCTCAAGTGTGTCACTCTATAATTATTGCCGCTTGCTTGTCTTAAAATATTCACAGTGTTGTGTAAAATATTGTTTTTATGCTGTAATAAATGTAAATTTAATGAGCTGAGAATACACTGTGCCACAAATTAACACATTTCTCTTTTTAATGTTCTCACATCTCAATACATTAACAGTTTACCGCACGTAAAACAAAGTTCTGTTGAGGGAGAAGCATGTTTTATGTCCTGTCTGGTAATACGTGTCTGTGTGGGGCTGTGATGGTGGTGGAAATGAGAATCAGGATGCAGAGCGAGGGGGCCACGGCCGTAAATTTCACCCGTTTCTCAGCGTCTCCGGATCAACGCCATCCTTCTTCACTGGACTGAAGTGTCGGCTCTGAATGTGTGTGATCCTACACACCCACGAAGAGCCAACACAAAACAGAGTTTGACGTCCAGACGGACAGACAAACAGATCAGAAGACAGGAATGTAAACAGATACAGAAGGCAGCTAGCAAACATTATGGAAAGCAGTTGGGGAAATGCACTTCAGAAATTATTTGGCGTTAAGCTCTCGATTCATTCTGTTTCTTTGCCTCGCAAAGTCATTTTGAGGTAGGCCCTGTGTGTGACGTGGCTGTCTCTATTTTTCCCTTGGTGCTAATAATAGCCTGAGACAGAGCCGGCCAAGCCAGACATGCAGACAGACAGACTGAAGGAAAATGTCTAACAAAGGGGAAGGTCGCAGCTCTATTCCTGACCTCCGTCTAAGCTTCTGTGAGGATGAGATAATTCAACTTGAGAAATACAATTACTTTAGCTGTAAAGTGCATCTCACTAATCAGAAGATGGCCACTGTTCTTCTTCAAATATTTTAAATATTGTACAGAATTAGATTTTGGTGTAATGATTTGATTTGCAGAGCAAAGGTTAACTGACTTGATCTACTTTAGATGTGCTATGTTTTTCTTTGTCCTTGTTCTCCAGTCTCACAGAATGTTGGCTAAATTAGAAAATGCAAACTGGTAAAAAGAAATACTCTATTTGAATACAGGAAAGGAGTATTGCTTGTACAAAGCTACATGCATATGCATGATGCAATAATTGTACACCAAAACACAAGAGCTGCCCTGTAACTATACCACATGTGATGAATGCAAAAACACGTCACACCAGGTCTAGCTGTGGGGAAATGTCTTTCTGATTAAACAGATAGAACCCCATCGTTACACAGAAAAAACGTCTGATGAGAAGTTAAAAAGGTATTTTTAGGTTTCAGCTGGCTGCATCAAAAGGTGGAGAGGAACCGAAGCTCTGCAGACCGCTGTTGATGCACTGGAGGTCACTTCCTGCTTCAGACATTCTCTCAGAATTCAGTCTGCAGTGTTTTTCTGCAAAGACACTTTAGGAAACATCAGCAGTCGTAAATGCCAAATGCACGTCCTCTAATATATCTAATTAACAATAAAGCATTCCTGAAAAAAACGTTTTACTTCCAATATGTGATGACCTTCAGTTAAAAAAACACTGTAAATATAAAATGTCGTTCATTTATCTTTGTTACATTTCTGCAACTGTCAACATTTTGCAGAGATAAGCTTACAGTCAGTGACTTGAGGAAGAAGTGCTGGTTGGTCCCTATTCAGATGGGACTCGTTATGTTGGAGGAGGCCAGGGAGGGTGCAGCAGTGCAGCAAAACAAGTTCAACCTTCAGGGATGTGTCCTCAGAGTAACCTTGTGCTGCAGCGTGCAACCGCTGACAGTATCAACAGATGTCATTTGGAATGAAACTCACATTAAGATATCCGTTTAGATGTTGACATTCTGGATTATAAGTCATTACCAAGAGAATGTCCTCATTAAACTCCAGCCAATTTGAGGAATCCATTTTATATTAATGACAGTTCAAGGTTTATATTCTTCAAATAGAGAATAATAAAAATATATATATGAAGCAGTTATTTCCTTCTCTTTGACACACACAATTTGATCTTTTTTTAGATAAATGGTGTATCTAAAGATCACAGTGTACCTTCTGTTCTAAAATGTTCCTTCAGCTCTTTTGGGGGGTAAGAGGTCTGTGCTGCCGCTGCCTAATCCATTATGGAGCAGCTGAGCCCATCCAGGGCTTTCTATTCAGCATCCAGCCTGCACACCGTGCGTGACACAGCATTTTGAGAGAGAGAACAAAGAAATAATTGAAAGTATGAAAATGTAGCGCAAAGCTGAGCTCAACCTGATGTTGAAAGGAGTGCTCTTGAAGGCACCACGAGGCATTAAAGGCCAGAAGTCAAACAGTTGAAGGAACAGTAAGAGTAGTGAGTGACGAATGGAATCATTTATAATCAGAAGCTCAAAGCTTTAAAAAAAGAAAAGAGATTTCTCTGATCAGTTTGAGATGATTCTGTTTCAACGATAAGCGTATAATGTATCCTGATCAGTTGAAAGATTACATGAAGCTCAAGCTTTGTTGTGACGTTATTCAGGGCTTCTTCTGTCTTTTTTCTTGTCCATCGTTCGTAAATTATTTAAATGACTTCACAGCTGTCTTGCTGTTTAATACCTGCTGCTGGCGAGCCGGCACAGACTTCTGCAGTAATGTTGTCACGCAGCATCTACATCATGTTCCAAAAAAAGCATCCCCATATTTCCAGTGATATTATAAAATAAATGTAATTAATAAGCATTTCATAACTTTATGAGGCCACGCAAATGTGACGCATTAATTTCCTCTGCTGCTGAAGGTGTGAAATTGTCAGAGGTCAGAAAGAGTAATTCTGCTATCATTGATCTTAAGGCCCTCAGGACTTAAATGTAGGCAATGCACATTTACAGAACAGAATATTTTATTAAGGCCGTTAATAACTAAGTTCCATCTATTTCTCAAGAACAAGTAACCAGCACTATGTGTCTGTAAGAGATGTTTTCCTGGTCCTTCTTCGTGCTGCACAGATTGACTAGGATCACGCCACAAAATAGAGGATAATTAAACCTGATTTGACCATAATGGCTGATTTCCAAGATTATAAAGAGCCTGCACTGATCTGCGTGACATACAAAAGCTAACATAGGACAGTCCGCAGGCATATTTATGATACAATGATAATATTTACACTTTAAAAATGGGGACCATGGTAGCAATCTACACATCCAGCAGACACACGGCATTAGTTTTCACTTGAAGATGTGTTTTTAGCTTCTCCTTTCCACTCTCCGTTTAGCTCTGGCATGGTCTCCACAAACTTGCAGCAAAAATATCAAGTTCTTAAGCAGCTAAATGTTCCAGTTTGTTCCCCAGCTAGTCATTAACTGTGTCTGTCTTCTGTTTACTGCATGGCAGGCTGCAAACAACGGGTTTTAGGGCATTCCCCCTGAAAACAGCTGCCTTCTGAATGGTAGAGACATGACAATGGCAGCAGTGAGACTGAACTATAACAGTAAAGTTGTGAGACAATAAACCAAAATGATGTCCTGGAAGATGCTCAAAGGCAGAGCTGAGGGGAGCTGCAGAGCCAGGTGACACTTCTATGTGGGTTTGTAAAAGCAACATAATAC